CTAGAAGCCGATTCAACCTATAACCTAGGTTTGGACGGTAAGAAATCGCTAAGAGGTTCTAACTAGGGCCGCAGCGGCCGAACACGAAGAGGGGTGTGCGAGGGAGAAACGGGGTCACGTGACATGGATGTTCACGACATTACTTAGTACAGAATCACGTGACCTAGCCTGCCTGAGGCAGTTCGCGAGTGCTCAGTGAGCTCGAGCATTCAGCGGGCCTTGCCCGCTACAATTATAAAGAAGTAAGAACTAAGTTAATATAAGTAAAGCCAGTAGCAGTAGATAGAATATTAAGGAGCATTAGGCTACTAAATTAAATATTATAACCTATAAGGTCTAAGGTACTATAGCAGAGACTTTCTTTTCTGTATTACATTTTCAAAATATCTGTAATCAAGATAAATAATCCAGATTTACATGCTATTAAATGTTACCCTAGACATTTGAGTTTTATTATAGCAGAGATAGTAAATATACATTATACTAAAATATATATTATACTGTACCATGACTAACTAGAAGCTGGGGAGATATAGATATTTAGTCTGCTAGTATAAGTGTAACTTTGATCCTGCTTCGTCCTTGTTATCAGATATATGACTGCAGTGTTCTTGTTAATCCTTAATATGTTTATGACTCTTAGCTAAAGTATGTATTCTAAGTACTGGCTTTAGGCTTATTAACCTATGGAGTGTTATAATACTTATATATTACTTATCACAGACTCTGGCTTAATCCAGGCTTATGATTATCCATTACTTTTTGCATTCCTCTAAATAGTGACTGTGGAAGTACAGAAGAAGAGTTACTATAATTAGTAAGCACCTAGAATAAAGAGATAAAATAAGCCTGTGTATTAAAGGATAGAATATGCCCCAGTGTTAGGCCTCTACGATATATGTCTCTGTAGAGGTGCCTAGATCAGCAATAGATAGCGTGATAGGGGCAAAGGGTGCGTGTGCCTGTATTCAAGAACTAATCACTGAGTTGCTTATCCGTCGCAACTCAGCAGTGTAGAAACCCCTTTGCGGGTCACATGACTAGTGCCAAGCCTCTACCAGTTGGCGCACCCTTTCTATATACATCGCATGTATGTTCGTAACACCCAGGGTAAAATAAAATAGGTATTATTTTATCTTATAAAGCCCAGTGGTCAAGCTTAATTTAGCTTTTATTATGTGTCTTAGAGTTAGCTTAAGCTGTTAAGTTATTACTGATAGAGTTATATTCAGTCTGAGTTTAGGTATGGCCTACCTTAATTAGCACTGAATTGCACTGGGTTTAGTTCTATTTCTTAGAACTTAGAACCTACCCTGACCTGGTGTGATTTGGTGTGAGTTTCACCAGAAAATCTGCTACTAGGGGGTTGAATAGGTGGTGGTTGAAAATTCATTTTTAAACCATGCTGGGTGTCAAAGGTTGGCACCGTATATATACTATGGTATATATCCCCACCATTTTCATACCAACCCCTGACAGAGATGACTATTCCCTTATATCTCAGCAACCACTAGATATTTTGAATCAATATTTTATATTTAGATAGACTAGATACTAGGCTATCTAGTGATATCAAAATCTATAGAGAAATCCTTAAATTTAGTGATTACTAAGCAAAAGATCATCACCAACCTGATAAAACTGATAAAACCGTAACCGACGGTTTTAACCGAACTCGAACCGGTTCCACCCTACCTAAACCGAAACTGATGCGATCCCTAGGCATCGAACCCGCACCACTGTGAGTTCGGTGAGAATTGGATTCAATTTTAGTGGTTCAGTTATGCAACTCTAATCACTGAAACCCTGTGACAATCCAGCTGATAATAGGACTTTTATTATCAGGGACCATGGATGATTAAGGTACATTTAGTCTCTGAGCTGGTTAATCCAGGTCACAAATACCCATATCCCAATGCCATTAATTTTTATTGGTTGAAGGGGAAAAGATGCTATACTCTAGATCTCCTCCCCCAGGATAATATTCAGAGACCTTATATTTTGTCGCTTAAAACCCAGAGCTGGTCCGTTGGAATAATGGCTCTGAAGAAATCAGCAGCAAGCCAGGCTTCGCGGGCAACCCCTATCCCGGAAGTCGCGGATACAGAGGAGACAGTCGAGGGAAGTAACACCCCCATTGCGGAGGAAGAAACCGACATCGCAGGAACCCAGGACCCAGCACCTGCAGATAATGAAGAGATAGGAACCCCTGCGACTGAACTCTCCACAATGGAGAAGGCTGCCCTAGAGCTTGAGGTTCTTCAGATCCTTCGCGAACGGCTTGGAATTATCCCTCAGAAACATTCGCAAAGCCACGAATCTGGATCGCCACCCGCGAAGAAAACTGACATCCGGATCCGACCACCAACCAAATCTGAACGCTACTCAACTAAGGACTATACCACCTATCGTGCCTTCATCACCAGCCAAGAATCCACCGCGGATGCTAATGGTTGGGCGGAAGAGACACGTGTTAGGGTCGCAGTAGCCTACCTAGGCCATGTTCTCTCTGATCTCTGGCAAAATGCTGCATTAGAGAACTATCGCGAATAGGGATGGGTTGGCTTCTGCCGATTCTTAGAGCCCCAGCTTGGCGACCCAAGAAATCGCAAGCAGGAAGCGTGGTCGCGAATGGTTTATATGAAACCTCGCGACGGCGAAACCGACTATGCCTATTGGCAGCGTTGGCGCGAACAGCGCGCAGAGATTGGGGACGACTCGCGGGACCTGGCGAAGGTGTGGTTACACCTCTTCTTCGAGTCATTCCCGCGAGCCCTAAAGAATAAGGTTCGCGAGCTTCCGGAATTCCCTAAGACTGAGGAAGAACTGGTTTCCCTCCTCGCGAGGCTGCGCCCAAACCTTGAGTCTAACACTCACCGGGACCCCTCGCGACGGAACCACAGAAACCACCATGGCTCAGGAGGTTCCGTGAAGCGCCCTGAGGACAGGGTCTTTTCCGACAAGGGAGAGAAAGCGGAAACCACTGTCACCGCCAACTCCAAAGAAGGCAAAAAGAAGGAGTTCAAGAAATTTAACCCTGATGTGAAGTGTTACAACTGTGGAAAGACAGGACACATCGCGAGGTTCTGTCGCAAACCAAAGGAAGGTGACACCGCGAAGGCCACATGACTGGTGGCTAGCATCGTCGCGGAAGAGCATAGGGGTGGGCCTATACTCTCCCACCCAAGCCTGTTCCTGCAGGCCTGGGTAGCTCGCGATGGCATGACACCAGCGCTCCAGTCGCTGGTGGATAGTGGGAGCTCGATCAATATCGTGCCTGCCACCCTCGCGAAGGAAGCTGGCTGGAAGCTACTCCCACGCCAGGTCTTCGCGAGGACCCTAACCTCGCAGGAGGTTAGGAATGAAGGAGTTGTTAAAATGGAGGTTACCCTCGCGGACAGTGATGGCAAGGAGCAGAGGTTCCGCGAGCTAGCGGTGGCATCCCCAGATGTAAACTACATCGTGTTAGGGATACCATGGTTAAAGAGACATGACCCCGCGACACTGTGGGCGCAGGAGAAGGTCATCCTCCGCGATGACCCGCCCATCGATATCGGTGTGATGACGATGGAAGAGCTCGCGGAGGATCAGGAGGCGATGGTAGCGCTAGTCTAAATCCGCGGGGATGAGGTCACTATCCAGGGTACTCGCGAGCAGTCCCTGCCGGGGTGGCTGAATGATTATCAGGATGTCTTCTCTGAAGAGAAGGCCACAGCGCTACCTCCACATCGCGAGGGGGTGGACCTAGAGATAGAGTTGGAAGATGGGAAGCAACCCCCATTTGGTCCTCTCTATAACTGCTCCCCTGCGGAGCTAGCGGCACTTTGCGAGTATCTTCAGACTATGCTCGCGAAGGGGTGGATCAGGGAGTCTAAGTCCTCCGCGGGAGCATTCATCCTTTTTGCGAAGAAGAAAGATGGTAGCCTGCGGATATGTGTGGACTACCGGGGACTAAACGCAATTACACAGAAGAACCGGTATCCACTACCCCTGATCCAGGAGACGATTGACAGGCTCGCGGAGGGGCGTATCTACACCCAAATCGACCTTCGCGATGCCTACCATCGTGTGCTGATTGCTCGCGGACACGAGTGGAAGACAGCTTTTCGGACTAAATATGGGCTGTTTGAGTACCTAGTCATGCCATTCGGGCTGACTAATGCTCCCGCGACATTCCAAGGATTTATGAACTGGCTATTTCGCGACTGCCTAGACCAGTTCTTGGTCATCTACCTAGATGACATCGTGATCTTCTCCCACAGTGAGGAGGAGCATCCGCGGCATGTTCGCATGGTGTTTGAGAGGCTTCGCGAAGCAGGCCTGTACGTGAAGGCAAGCAAGTGCTCCTTCGCGGTGAAGAAGACAAACTTTCTGGGTTATATCATAACACCAGAGGGTATGGAAATGGAGCCTTCGCGGGTGGACACGATCCTGACATGGCCGGTGCCAGAATCCGCGAGGGAGGTCCTATCATTCCTGGGCTTCACGGGCCGGTATCGCAGGTTCGTGGAGGGGTACTCGCGAATGTCTGCCGCAATGACAGACCTTCTGCAGAAACCCAAGCCGGGGGAGGTCGCGAGGAAGTCAGGGCTCGACTCTTTGCCTGACCTGGCCCTGCAGGCTTTCCAGAAGCTAAAGAAAGAGTTCGCGAAGCGTGTACTTATCATGCATTTCTTTGAGCATTTACGCTCGCGAATGGAGACAGACTCGTCTGGAAAGGCAGTCTGTGGCATACTATCACAGCTGCATGATGATGGTCAGTGGAGACCAGTGGCATTCTACTCGCGGAAGATGCTGCCAGCTGAGAGGAACTATGGTATTCATGACCAAGAGCTCCTCGCGATAGTCGAATCCTTTAGGGAGTGGCGGCACTACCTTGAGGGTGCTCGCGAAGCTGTGGAAGTCATCACTGATCATGATGCACTTCGGTACTTCACGACAACTAAGGAGTTGTCGCGGAGGCAAGTGAGATGGTCGCAATTCCTTGCGTCATTCCATTTCAAGATAGTCTACCGCGAGGGGAAGAAGAACCCCGCGGACGCGCCTTCGCGGAGGGCAGACTATGTAAGAGAATCCCGCGAAGAAGACGCGGAAGGCCATGGAGGCAGACATCCCGCAGTATTGCGAAGGCAGCTAGCACCAGATGAGGTCGCTAATGAGGCGGTGGGAACCGCCGCGGAGTATAGAGATGCCCTAGAAGTCGCGGTAGTGGACACCGCGGGGCATAGAGATACCCGGGGCCAAGGAGTTGCCCGAAGGCCTGAAGAGGCGACTAAGAGGGTGGTCGCGAGCAGCACCACTACACCTAGAGAGGCATCCACAGTGGCGATCACCAGAAGTGCCGCGGAGCAGAAAGTTGAGTATGCTCGGGCTATCATCTTGAATGGTACCACGGCAGTACCTGAGGCCTTGGCCCAGGGAGAAGCCATCCGAGAGGGGTGTGCTGAGGAAGGGCCCTACCGCAGGGACCCATCCGCGGAGATCAGGGCGGTGGTCCCAAGAATTCTCCGCGCGGATGAGTTCGCGAAGAATATTCTTGCAGGGCTCGAGGACCCCGCGAAGTTCCAACCATGGAACCGGTGCGCGAAGGACCAGTTGTCCCGTTGGAAACTTCGCGAAGGCTTTTCTACCGGAGGGAACGCCTGTATATCCTTGACGAGTATGGGATGAAGTTGGGTATCCTCGCGAAGCTGCATGACGACCCATTTGCAGGTCACTTCGCGGAGGCAAGGACCCTGGAGCTTGTCAACAGGAGGTTCTGGTGGCCAGACCTCAAGGCATTTGTTCGCGAATACTGCCAAGCTTGCGGCGTGTGTCAGGGCTCGCGAAGGATTCGCGGCAGGCAGCAAGGCCTCTTGGAGCCCCTGCCTGTACCCGCAGGAATCTGGGTCCAGATCACAATGGATTTCATCACGGATCTACCCGCGCATATCCTCTTCTAGCCGCTCGCGAGAAGCATTTGACTCCATTCTGGTTGTTGTGGATCGATTCAGCAAGATGGCCCACTTCATCACTGTCCAGAAAACCGTCCGCGGAGAGGACTTAGCACTGCTACTCCTCCGTGAAGTCTTCCGGCTTCACGGCGTCCCTGAGAAGATTATTTCAGAACCGGGTTGGGTCTTCGCGAAGGGGTTCTGGGCAGATATGATGTTCTATCTCCTGATTCGCAGGGGGCTGAGCACAGCCTACCACCCCCAGACTGATGGCCAGACTGAGCGACTCAATAGTGTGTTAGAACAGTACCTGCGAGCATATGTGAATTTTAGACAAGAAGACCGGGTAGATTACCTACCACTCGCGGAGTTTGCGTACAATAACGCATATCAGGCCTCCATTAAGAATACTCCCTTTCGCGTGGTCACAGGGACGGACCCCCGCGTGATTGGGTTGGATGTTCGCGACCCTCCAGAGGTGGAGGGGGGGGGCGGGCCGCGGAGGAAGTCCGCCAGCGCCTCGCGGACATCCAGGTGATTAGGAAACAGGCAGTGGAGTCACTCCTGAAGGCTCAGGCCTACCAGAAGGAATACTATGACCGTAAGAGGGTCGCGAAAGTGTTTCAGGTTGGGATATGGTATGGATATCAACAAAGAATATGTCGCGAATCAGACCTAGCCCTAAGCTAGACCAGTTGAACACTGGACCAGTGAAAATTGTGGAGCGGATTGGCAAGGTGGCCTACCGCGTAGACCTACCCGATACATGATGTTTTCCATGTGTGTATGCTTCGCGAGCATAAAGAAATGGATGGAGTGGACTCTGGGGAGAGATTTCCTATTCGCGAGGCCACTGAAGCAGATCGCGAATACCATCCAGAGGCAATCTTAGCCTCGCGGAAGCAAGGCCGTACCATAGAGTACCGCGTGAGGTGGAAAGGCTATGGGCCAGAAGATGACACCTGGGAACCTGGCACAAACCTACGCCATCTACAGATCTACAAGGACTACGTGAAACCCGTCGCGGAGGGGAAGAAGACTGTTCATTCTCAAAAAAGGAAAAAGAAAACTGAAAGGACACTGCGCGAATACAGGCCCATATTCCCCCTCTACAGCCTCACACGCATCATCACGAGGGCGCGAGCGCAACTCGCGGGGCAACAAGCCGGGCTACCGCGGGACACCCTACTGCTCAAAAGAGCAGGGGTAGCCACGGCGGTAGAGGCAGTTGTTGCACTCGTTGCCAAACCCACCAGAGATACAGGTTGGGAATGGGGCGGTGCCACCATTCCGCCTGCACTCTCCGCACATCTCGCCCGCAGGAGGCTGTGCCCCAGCTCTAGTCACGAGGATGGCCTCGCGGAGCTGGGCGCGCACAGCCAACTGTCCGGGGCGGCCGAAGCCAGCCCACAAGACCGAGCGGAGCACAGGCCTTGCGACCCATGCACGCTCGCGGCGGGACAGAGGTTGCGCCCCTGTTCAGGGAGGGAGTCCAGGGACCACCGCGGCGTTCCAGCGTGAGCGCCCGAGAAACCAAGCGTCCGGGGGCAACTCCACCATCTGGGCCTGCTCCCAGATGGCAGGGCCGCCCGCGGTGGGCGGAGGAGCATCCCATTGAGCCTTAGGTGTGCCCGCCGGAGGCGGAGGGGGCCCAGTGACGAGGTTTCCCTGCAGGATGTTAGCAAGCTAGAGCTTTCGCGGCAGGGGAGAAGGAGGGAACTTACCACAGCAGTAGGAACCGACCAGACATTGCGCATAGTCCACACAGAGGTGCCGTGCTGCCGGGTGATGGCGGAAGCAAGGCGGAGCCGGGACCCGGGGGGACACTCGCGGGGACCGAGGCGGGGGCAGGCACGGTCGCCGGGCCAGCCCCGCCGACAAACAAACCCCCAGGGGGAAGCGGAACGACAACAGCCACCGCGGGGGGGACAGGAGGAGGCTGACTCGCAGAAGGAGGCTGACTCGCAGAGGCAGGGGCAGAACTGTCGACGGGAGAAGGTGTTCGCGACAGCTCCGTCAAGTCGGAGACTGAGGAAAGGGAGAAACTGCTAGACGCAAACATGGTTTTCGCGAAAGGGTTGATGACTCTTAGTGAAAAATTGATGAAAATTTTGAAGGCTTCGCGAAAAAAAATTAGTAAAACTCACAAACTGCACTCACGAACACCAAGGACAAGTAAAAGCACAAAAATACAACCTAATAACTCTTGCGACAGTGCACACAATAAGAAACACAAACAGGCTTTGTGAGTTGGAAACATAAAGGAGAAATAAAAGAAATGACTTGCAAGGCAGCACAGCCAACACAATTCAGGATGAGGAAAGGCGCCACCTGATGTGGATGTGTGAAAGGCACCGTGTGAGGTGTAAGTACAGAAGGAAACTCTCGCAGGTATACTTACAACATGAAAATGATGAGGATGATGAAGAGAGAGAAGGAGAGAAGGAGAGAGAGAGAGAGGGAGAGATCTTATATACCCTACAGAATCACTGACCTGGTGCCTATGCCCTACCTAAGGCTGTTTAAAACTGTGAATGTTGATTCTAAAACATTCACCTTGTGCAGTGAATGGATTGTTTAAGACAGGGCCTCACAAATAAAGGTAAACATAAAGGAATAGGGGTTCATGAGGCAAGATAAACATAATAGAGATAAGGCGCAAGACTAAGTGAATAGATTCACAAAGGGGCCTCATGAAATCTGATACAGCAGACCTTTTCCCTTCTTCTGGTTTCCCCCCCCCCCTGCCTCTTATACCCTTCTAACCCTCCCGACGACCTTACCCGTGTAGTTCTTTGCAGCCGCGGTCTCATCATCACAAGAATCAAACTAGCGATAACTCAACAAACTACATCGTGACGCATTACGGTACAGTTAGATTCCGTTCCACCTGTGAATCTAACATA